AAAACACTAACAATGACATGGGATTAATCATAAATGAGAAAACTGATTACTTCGATCCATATATAATTCTCCCTATACTTAAATAGAACATCTCATGAGAATCCTAAAATTTCATGGTCAATTGGATAATTTTACTTCCTTTCAGAGTTGGGAGAATAACTATTTGTTAAAAAAAATAATAAAAGAAAAGAAAAAAAAAAAGAGTTGGGAGAAATAACTTATAATTTGTTATATACACTTGGATGTATTTTACACCCAACTAACCCAAGTTTAGTTTTTGCTCTAAAAGGAAAAACAATCATGAAAATAAAAATAAATACTTATGGATGTACGATATACCCAGGTGTATGTAACAATTTCTCGAAATAACTAATATTGATTTTTTGAAAAGTTTGGTGGAAAAACTACATTTATTGAAAACGGAAAAAGGTGACTGTTCAAACTGAACTGAAAAAAAAAATATATATATATTACAAACTTTAGTTCCCGTTCATTTACCTTATTTTTGCTAAACTTAGGGCCTGTTCATATTTACTGAACTGAGCCGAACTGAACTGAACTGAACTGATTGGAGCTGAACTGAACTGAACTGAATATTTTATGAGAGAGGGAAATTAAGAGCTGAACTGAACTGAACTGATTGGAGCTGAACTGAACTGAGCTGAACTGATTGGAGCTGAACTGAACTGAAAATAAGTAAATATGAACAGGCCCTTAAATTAATTAACTAAACTTAAATTATTGTTGCTGAAATTAAATTATTTTTACTGAACTGAAATTAATATTGCTAAATTGAAATTATTTTTACTGAATATTTCTTTTTTAGAGTTACTAATTTTTATTGAACTAAAATTATTTTTTCTAAATTGAAATTAATTTTACTAAACTGAAATTATTTTTACTAAATATTATTTCGTAAGGTGAACTCAAATAGTAAAAAGTGTTATTTACTCATACCTTTAAGTCAATGACAACATTGCACATTATTAAGACTATACTAGGTGTGTGAATTGACTTGTGATCCATAAATCTTCATTTGAAGTCATCAGAAATTTCAGTTAAAGTGCAGAAAAAAGTTTGAGTTTGAGCTTGAGTTTTTAGTACAAATCAGACGAAATCAGATTTTTACTACACAAACAAATGAGTAAGAAAGATAAAAAATACGAGTATGAATAACAAAAATTAATTGACATCAATCCAAATGTTGTGCACGTACTACCTCGTTTATTGCATATTTTTAAGAAGGGACCCACATAACTTAACTTGCCCATTCTACTCTTTACAATTTTTACAGTGGTAAAAAAAAATAAAAAAAATCATTAGCTAATTAAGTCAAAATAGTTACCTGATTAATAACCTTTTTAATCAAACGTACACACTTAACATTTATGTTTACTTTTAAGCTATTTTCATGTCTTTCCTTTTCATTAACCTATTTTAAGTATTTAACCTTTTCTGTTTCTTTCAATTTGTCTCCAACTAGAATGGTAAATTTCGATTTGATTTTTTACCATCTTTAACCACTGATCCAATCTTTGAATGATTTCATTTATAAGGTCTAGCTATGGCATTGGTCAACAATATTCTAGCTAAAGTGTATGTCTTGCATTTACTAGCTACAACCCTACAAGCATTATTTGGAACTTAGAATTAACAATTCTAAAGTTCTCCAACTTGATATTCTTGCGTTGTATTGTTCAATAATTTGTAAAAGAATCATTTTAATAAGTAGACAAGTAATTAATGTTTGGAGAATAAATGTATAAAGCCCAACTCATTGAATTAATAGAACTGGTTACTGTGGGCGATGATGTAGAAGAAATTTAATCTCATATACTTTAGGTGATGCCGCATTCAAGGCTTTATCAATTGATCATATACTAATAATATATATATAGTCAGCATTTTTTTTCCCCCTATCTTCACTTCGAGCTCTCTCTTGAATCTTGACATATCTAACTATTTAAGCTATGCAAATTTTACATATAGTAACACAATGTTTGATCCAATTAACACGTGCAAAAAACAGTCAATGATAACATGCAGTCAAATTAGTCAAGTTAAATTAGCCGACAACCAAAACCCAACATCGAATTGTCAAACAAGGCCCATATCTTAGAAAAATAACTTGAATGACATGTGAGGATCGTGGGAAGAAGCTCATAGAGGATAGACTTGTTGCTATACTCCGTACATTGTAGTGGCGGTATATGATATGGTTTCAAGCTATTTTCAATCTACAATATACATCGTGCTACATTATTGTTATCTTTTTTGTAAGTCGACAAGTTACATAATTGATGACAATGATTATAGCTGGGCCAAAGTAAGTTTGTGTCAATGAAAGTTATTTTTGGTTGTATTAAATTACACAACACAAATAATAGTATATACTTATGTTGTATGCTCTTAGCAATATGACAAGGGTAGGCCAAATCAATTGTAATAATATAGATCAAAATTCAACATCAAGTTGCTACTTGCTAGGTTACTAGTATTTCCTTAGAGAAAATCATAGTTAGAGGTAGGTATATATATTATGCTACTATTGTATCAATTGAAAATGGTACTTGATAGAATATTAGATCACTCGAGGGTCTATAATTTGCTTGATAATTAGTTTGGTTTGATATCAATCCCTAGTTCAACTTCTAGACATGAAATTCTATCTAATTTAACATATACAAAGAAAATTTCGCTCAAATGTGAGACTATTTCAACTTGTCTATTTATTATATCAAACCTTTTAATTACAAGTAGTTTATTCCAATCTATATTACATGTTAATTACAATATCCTTGCATTCTTACACTGTATATATGTTAATATATACAACAAATTTGACCATACCTTTATATGACGCATACAAGGCAACATATGTATTCGGGTTGTGAATCAACTAATTAGGTCGTTAAATAGTACATACAATAAATTTGTGCATACCATTAAACGATGCATACAAAGCAATGAATTTAATCGAGTTTTTATTGATATAAGTATACAATTACAATGAAGAAGTAGTATAATCTAGGGGAAACAAGCACATGATTTTAATAAATGTTGATATTAGTCTATTGCAAATATGAAAATGGGTATGTGTGTCTTAGGCGCAAAATGCGCTTACAAAGATCAGTTAATGCAAACGTGCCTGTAGTAAATAGGGGACATCCTAATGGTTAAATTCATAAATTTGGGGCACATGCATGTTAACTATTTTCATGTTTAAAAAATTTCTGATTTTCTAAATATTTGAGTGTTATTTTTATTATTATTTTTGTGGCACTAAATTTTGCAAGATAAACATATGCATATATTTGAGTTAGAATGTTGTTAGGAGATTCTTCGGCACAAAATTTTGCTTGTCTTAGTTAAATCTACCCAATGCTTGCTTTCATGTGAACATCTCATTGAATTTCATGCATGATTTGATTTGCATATCAAAGACACAAGTCAATTATACTATATAATATAACATAACTATCTTAGAAAAATGATTTATGTTAATTAATTAACTTATCTATTTGTAGATTATTAAACATAAGTTGACCTAAGTCTAGATTTTTATACATTAGGTTAATACAATTTGATTTAGTGATTTATCTATTCGAATTAAAACTCGTATTGTAACATTAGTTCTATTAATTATTTTTCCGTGTTTAACAAATATTCCAGGTGGGAGGAATGTTTACTAAGATCAAGTACGTACTATACCTGGGGGGAAATTTGGTGATTAATAATATACTAAAATTATATACATAGTAGTGTTTAGAAGAGATAGATTTTGTTGATTTGGTTATTATATGATAATACTATAGTGAATAGTGTTTGAAAGAAAGTACCTAAGTACCAGTATATTAACTCTTCTTGTATCAATCAATCAATTACATTAACAAATAACAGCAACTGTAATATTCGCAAATTATTTTAATAATTAAGGTATTATAGTAATGCGATGTATAGATTAATGTCACTATCTTACCATGAAGGAATTCTACATTCCACGAGAATTATTATGAGCAATTGAATATATAAATAGAATAAAGTTATCTATATTCAAAATTCAATGGAGAAAAATATAATACTACATATTATAAAATGATCTTAAAAATTGAGAGCACACTCTAATTAGTATGATACCTTATGGAAAAGAGTTTAAATATAAATCAGTGCAGATTAGGCCTTATGAAAAAGAGCCCAAAAATAAATCCGTACGGATTAGGCCTTAAGCGGATGGCAATATCATACTAAGGGTCTGTTCACATTTACTTAATTTCAATTCAATTCAGTTCAGTTCAGTTCAACTCCAATCAATTCAGTTCAGCTCCAATCAGTTCAGTTCAGATCAGTTCACTTCAGTTCAGCTCCAATAAGTTTAGTTCAGTTCAGTTTAGCTCTGTTCAGCTCCTAATTTCCCTCTCTCATAAAATATTCCCAGCCCAGTTTATATCATTTCAGCTCTAATCAGTTCAGTTCAGTTCGATTCAGCTCCAATCAGATCAATACAATTCAGTTCAGTTCACTTCAATTCAGTTCAGTAAATATGAACATGCACTTATTATAGAGTGGTGTAATGAAAATCAATTAGGTGGGTGACCGGAACCCAACACTAATGTCAATATATTACCATGAAAGAATTAATTCTTCATGTCACAAGAATTATTATGACCAATTGTATATACAAGTAGAATATACATATACACATTCAAAATTCAATGGAGAAATTAAAAACCTCTTATAAAATGATCTTGTATGTAATCTATACTTGTTCATGACGTATAAGTTTGTGTAATAGTATAGATAATTGAATGGAGATTTTGTGAGTTATCCACGACACACAAAAAGCAAAGATCAATATATACTACGTAACACAAGTGAGTAATAGTATTTAATCTGATGGCACTTCTGTGAATATATTGAAACAACGCGGTATTTTATTTAATACTTTTGGTGAGCTGTCCAATTACTTTTTGCAACTTGCATTTACTGTTTGATGAGGAAATTACACATGTACCCCTCAACTAGTACATGAAAAGACGCATATACCTCTCCACTGATATTTGAAAAGACGATTATACCCACAAATAAACAAATTTTGTATATCTGGGGAATTAACCGGGCACAACTCATATTAAAATGTATATTATGTGATCATCCATTATTATAAATACCACCCATTATTATAAATACATGCCAATGCTTTAATTTAAGACAAATCATTATCCAAATAATAAAATGATATTACAAAATAAAATTAACCCTAAATTTTATTAGGTACTCTTTGAAAAATCATCACATTTGCCCAAAACATTTTGCCAAATCCTACACAAAAAAGTAATTTCCACAATTAACATTAAGGGCCATGGCATCAAGCACGATCATAAGTTGCCTATTCTTTTAGGGGGATAACTTATACTTATGCAAAAAAATAATTATATTTATATACGAAGTATATAGTTGATTTATATTCATTTAATTGAATTTTCATGGTGATGATGATGTTCAACCATGCGGCCCAATCGAATTAAGTTTGTATAATCTTGTGGGCCATGGGCTGAAAGGCCTGGGAAAATAAGCCCAATCATCCGATGAATAAGTTGAAACCAACATTCTTTGTAATCTGGGCCCCATTTCATATGTGGAAGTATGAAACTCCTAATTAGCTCCCAACATGCATTCATGAACTTTGGTATCATCCATGCCAATGATGTGTAGTTCTTATTTGGCTCCACTTTCAATTCCTACAATCATCCATAACATAAACAAATATGTCAAAAGAATTGTACATCAATGATATAGTTAAAAATCATGAATCCCTTCAAAAAAGATTCAGACTTTTTTACATAAATCGTAAATTCAGGGTAAAAAAAATATGAAGACAGGTGGAGAAATTTACCCTTCCTTGGTAGAAACTATCGTAGTAGAGGCACGGGCCGAAATGTTTAAACAAGAGAGTCTTGTTATCATAAGGAAGTCTAGGAACCATATCATTGCAATAAACATACCTACAATATTTGACATTATAGGTCTTCAAATTCTTCTTCATAAAATCTCCAAATTCCTCATCTCCAACTCTTGGTTGTCCAAATGTATAAACACCCTCCAATCTATCAAGCAATTCTTTCTCTTCATGTAATATTAGAACACTAGCGAATAAAATCGCTAACGCACCACCCAAACTATGTCCCGCTACTACAAATTTTGCGTTCTTGTTTTCTTTAATTATGCTTCGAAGGACTTGTCGAATTTTGTAATACGCAAATTGTGGTTGTTTATCGCTCGTTTCGATCTCTTTTGGCCATCCGACACCGGATTTAGTGTTTTGAAGGCCTAATGCCTTCATGAATCCGGCGTGAACTTTTCCTACGTTCGTTAGCCTAAACCAAGAAATATCAATGTCTGCGCGACAGTCGTCTGTATCGAAGGGGTTTGTGCCTCTAAATGCAACCACTATTGTGTCTTTGTCCTTGCTTATGTTGCGCGCCATGAATGCATCTGTAGAATTGCTCGCTTGGAAATCTGCAACAAACGATTGACGAATTAGTTAACTATATTGGTACAAACAAACGATTGACGCTTAGTATAGTACCCTTCATTATAGGGGATGTAGACCTATGTAGTTAGGGTATAGATTTGGGTGGGACATGTTACACCATTTTTAAAATTTATAACATTTAAAACCAAATTTGAAATATAAAAAATAAGCATATATTGATTGAACTAATAATTTCAAATACCTCACTAACTTAATAATTCTAGATCCGCCCCTAAAATAAAAGAGAGTACACAATAGATAACAAAAAGATATTCTTCTAGTACTGCTTTAATAATGCTTACCATTTCGGAAGTTGTAAGCCCCTAATAGTTCCATCTGTTAAATATTAGATAGAATCAGATGTTAATATAAGAATATTAAAAGATGGCGATCATACATGATTACACGTGGACATATAAGCTAACATTATAAAAAAAAAATTATAATAAAAAAATAAATAAATAAAAAAAGTGTACAATACCTTCCAACTTTCCTCAACAACATTTTTAATGAAGGCTGAATTTTCATAGGATAACTTAGCAGCCATCCAAGAGAGTGAAGCTTCATAATTGGCGTGCCCCGGTTGAATATTTTGGTCCAAATCCACTCTTGGATCGAGAAGTGCTATAATTGATCTATATGTCTCGGACTCATTTGGCATATGCACTTTTCCTGTCCAATTTCATAAGATTTTTAAACATAATAATATAATGAGGAATATGTAAATTAAAAATGGTGAAATTTATAATATATGAAAATGGTGAAATTTATAATATATGGTGAAATTTCATAAGATTTTTAAACATAATAATATATGTATATTGTGCTGAAATTTTAACCCAATGTAACATAACCTGTAATTACCCCACATTAAAAAAGAACGGGTCTTATGCGTGAAGGGCGGGGTTAAAACTCTAACTTCATAAGTTCATATATCACTATCATATGAACGCATGATTTTCAACAAGTTTGTTTTTTAATTTCACAATAATATACGAATAATATTATATCATTTCACAAATAATAACTCTTTATTACAATAAAAAAATTATCAAACTCTATTATATATGTTATGTCTTGAAAATGCTCTCAATTTCTTATACTTAGCTCTATTATATATGTAATGTTAACAACTTTAGAAGTTATCCAACTTTACTTCCAATATTATATGAGACACTAATGAATTATCAATTCAAAATTTTAGCCAGTTTTTCCATTGGTTCAGCCCAGAATTCGGAAGTTTTCTAGTCTTTTCCGTAGGAACGCTGGGCTGGGCCACCTCGAATGGCGTGAGCCGCATGCGGGGAGACCCGAACGTACGGCTTCGCTCTTCCGGAACCGGTACAGAAATGGGTGCTTTTTCCACGTTGTTTACCTTAGTTACTGGGGGGTTTCGGGGAAGACCCATGTGGGGCACCTTTTGGGTGTGGGATGCGCGTTTAACTTCTGTATTCATCTCGTTCCTTATTTACTTGGGTGCGCTGTGTTTTCAAAAGCTTCCTGTAAATTATCATTTATTTTACCGATTATCATTTATTTTATTTTAGACGTTACCCTTTGTAAATTATGATGGAACATTATAGGACCTTTCTCTAGCCTCCTAAATAGAACACCCATACCCAAACTATCCTTAGAAGCGTGCAGTGCCAAGTAATTGTGTATTACTAACACGCGGTAAAATAATTGTAATTAGCACAAGCTAGGATGCTAACTTAACATAGACCTCAATTAGTGGCAAGATATTTAATACAGTAAATGAATTCACTAATTACAGGGGACATAATTATGTATTTCATGATGGTAAGCATTAATTAAATTAATTTAATAGCTGGCATAACCTTCATTATCAATTTTTGAATCATATGCTACCAATTGGATCCCATCTAACTATTTTCTGTTAACTCGATGATTAGTGCAGATTTAACCTAATCTTTTAGATTTATGAATTATGTAATGAGTCTATTTTGATTATTAATCAATGAATTAATTTCTAATTACACAATCGATCTAGTTGGCACTTGGCAGTATATATACAGACATTTGAATAATGCGTGTATTACAATTTTTTTTTATGAAAGAAAAATAGAATATTTATCATACGTGTAACCTGAGGCTACTCCATATATAGCAAGTCACAACAAATTTAAACCTCGATAAATGACATTTTTTCATTTACCTTATTCTTAGCACTTAAATTATGTATTTTATTTCTTTTTAGAAAAGGCTCTTATTATCTCTTAGGTTTGAGCATGCATATTAAGATTGGATAATAGTAGGGTGGTTTTTTTTTTTTTTTTAGATTGACCAAAATAGACAATTAGTTGAGGATGAATATCACGTTACTTATTTACTATTGTTTGGTAAAGTAACGATTGACTGATTATTATCTTTATTATAAAAATAGTGTGACTCATAAAAACTACAAGGTAATTAAAACAAAAAAGAAATTACACTTAAATTACTGATCAAAGTAAAAATTTCATGCATTTAATACACTTTGAGATAGTGAAAAACATAAGTATGGAGTAATAGTTAAACTAATTATAAGAAATGATCATTAATTAGTCAATATTTATATTGCTAACCTTTGAAAAAATTTAACCACAATCTGAGCAATCCACCATTGTTTGTTATTAGATTCATCCATGTTACGATGAAATAGCCAATATGAGCCATTGGTGTCTTCATGTATCGAAACAACTTAAACAAAACAGCCGAAACAAAAATGAGCCATCGATAGTTAAAACTTTCTAGGTCTTGTTCGATTTCGTGAGGGCAAACAATATGATTAGCTCTCTCATTGAAGAACAGAAGGCGAAGAAGATCATAGAAACTAGAATTTTCTGGGTATAATTCAAGATAATCTTTGCATACTAAGCTCTCTGAAGAACAATAATAAGACATGTTTAGAAGAAATGAAGAAAGAATATGATGGATATTTTTGTGGTGTCATTTGGTAGATGTCACAACTTCTATTTATATATTCATGCATTTTGTACTTTATGCACGAAAGAATAAAGGGTTTCAAAATTGGCATGTTAGCGTTATAACTTTACTCAATCGGTCCACTTTTACTACCTACTCTATAATTCTACATGGGCATAGCTAGTTATGTGTTATTATTATTTTAGTAAAACATTGCGTTCTCAAAAAAAAAAAAAGGTAAAACATTGCGTTCCCAAAAAAAAAAAAAGAAAAAAAAAAAAGTAAAACATCACGTTTTTTGTGTGCAGTGGCTGGTCATACTGTGTTGTCGACTGACAGTCTGACACACTCCAAAATTAACCTTGACCGAGTAATTCCTAATCGAGTAACCCTTAACCGACCAAGTAACTCTGGTCACACGGTGTGACTAGTCACATATGAAACTTTAAGAAAGTGGAATTGGTTTATGATATAATAATATATATGTTGTATTTACTTGATTTTATAATTTTAAACTTATGCAGTACTCTCTTATATATATTTGCATCACTTCCCTTTTATAGGTGTTTTTTTTAAATGCATCACTTGTATATTTGGTAACTTTATATTGCTTCGTTTTATCATTTTCCTCTCTTACTTTAAACCCCACTCAAATTATTTTATTATTTCTCTCTTTCATGGTCCCCACTTAAATAATAAAAATAATAAAATATTTATCCTCTCTCACATACTTTATCTTTCATCATCACCATTTTACTTTTACTATAATAATTTATTCATCCACTTACAATATTATATTACTCTCCTAAAACTTTGTACATTATAAAGTAATGCAAATTAATTAAAAAAACAGAGGAAGTATTATATATTAATTTTAATTAAATTTATCTAATCTTATGGTACGGAACTAATTAGAATATGTAACAACTTATTGAAATATGTTAAAACTATATTTTAGTAGTAAATTGAATTTGGTACATTACCCTTATACAAAGTAATACTAGTATAATTAACCAACTAATAACTTTATCTGGACTCATTACTAATAGTAGTAAGAAATCTGCAATATAAGGTTAACTAAACATACATTAGTGAATATGAGAATCAAGTGATGGATACTTATTATGAAGCTATGATCAATTGTAATACCGGACAAATTTAAAGGTACAATAAAAAAAAAAGTTTTAAAGAAGGAAGAAAGTAAGTGATTTTTTTATTTGATAATTTTAATGTCATCTTCGGATAATTTGAAATTATAAGTTTGATAGGGGCTTCATTTTATATTTGTTGGTTTATAAATTTTGTACTTTATTTTTTGTTTATTTGTATTTTGAATTTTTTCCGGTTTGACAATTAATGAGTCATAAGATAATTAATATTTTAATTTTCTAAACTAAGTCCATAAAAAAGTACCATATCCTCCATATAAAATACTAATCCAATTATTATCCTATATAAAATAATTTGAATCAAAAGACATATTATTATAAAACTATTAGAATATGCCCTATTATTATAAAACTATTAGAATAATAAAAGACATATATATAAATTTGAATCAAAATGTGTGAATACTAATCCAATTAGGGCATGTTCACTTCAGCTTAATTTTCAATTAGTTTAGTTCAGTTAAGTTTAGCTCCTAATTTCCTTCTCTCATAAAATATTTATTTTAACTCTATTATATTCAATTTAGTTCCGTTCAGTTTAATTCAGTAAATGTGAACATGGCACAGGCCTTTAGTGTTTGGGCAAATATCAAGCATGATTTGGACTAGTGATTATTGATGCTTAAAACTTAGGATCGGAGTACTTTGATTGTTATATTTTATTCCTAATTATTATCCCTTTCGAGAACGATATGATGCTTGAATTGGAGGATCTAAGATGTAGATGTGGTCATGAGTATATTGACTTAGTAGTAAACGGAGTGGCAATTATTAGTCATACCATATCATAATTAATTATTTGGCATGCTTTTTATTCATTGAAACATTTTTTTCTTTGTTTGGTGAGATACTCGTGAAACACTACACTAAGGTCTAAATCGTGTTAGTTCTTGATGTGTTATATCTAGCTATGTGCCTATGTCCCATCATTCCCATGTTTTATTAATAAGAAAAGTGATAGTCAAAAAGCTAATTAATTACGCGTTTACACGTTTGTTTAGTTTTTTTATTTTGTTCTTCACTAAACATCGAAATAAAATAATTAACTTGTATATAAAAGTAGGTATATTCTAATAGTTTTATAATAATCCTGCTGCATGTTTATTTAATGCATAAAAACTTTATTTATAATTTTATCTAATTATTGTCAAAAGGACAGTGGACACCTGGCTCCGTTATCTGTTTTTGTTTTTGTTTTGGTTAAAGGATGATGTAGATTAATTATGCACTTAACCATTGTTATCTAATTTATTTATTTATTTATTTTTGGCCGGTATCTAATTATTGAAGAGGGAAGATCATGAAATAAAGGAGAAGATCAACTAATACGATAATTAATTGTGACGATCAAGACATTATTAAAGAGGTAAGATCAATATATTATACGAGTACTAATTAACTGTGATTTCGATCATCAAGCTAAATCACAATAATTAGTCAAATGCGTTGGACATAACAATTAGTAGGGCATATTAGCCTCATTCAATTAGAATATGGAATAATATACAAGTAGTTAAGTATGTAGGGGCTTTCTTTTACTAATTATAGAAAATGAAAGCTTAGTAGTAGTTTGTACTTCAATTATTAAATTATAACTTATAATTCATTTGTCTTTTTACTCAATTTATTTCATGCACGTACTTGCACTAGCTCACTACCTATTATATATGTTTGTCAAATACTATAATAATTTAGCGAGCTATTTATGTTAGAGGAGCAATTCAACCAAAAGATTAATTAAGGCTTAAAATGTGGATGCAGCATGGGTCCTCTACATACCATGCGCGAAATATTCCATTTGAAAGTGGAGGTGCATGAGATTTGAACATGTGACCTTTGTGTCATGATGATTCCAATACCATGTTAAGGGACCAACTCAACCAAAAGTTTAAACTGATGGTTGAGACAATGAATATGTTTTATAATCTATCAATTAAAATATTCTCTCCGTTACGAATTACTCGCAACAAATTAGGGAATTGCAAACTCCTTGGAAAAAGATCTTAAGCTTGATTATTGAAAAATAAGGGTATATACTTAAGTATTAATCCAACCAAAAAAAAAAATTAAATTAAATTAAAGTTCACAAACCACCACAACCCAACACCATGCGTTCACGAACCACCACCACCACCACCTATCACCACCACCTAGCACAGCACCACGAAACCACCCAACACTACCACCACCACCTATCACCACAACCTAGCACAATAGCACCACATCACAGTAGCACCACGAAACCACCCAACACCATGCACCACCTAGCACAGTAGCACCACGAGTTCACTCGTAGTAGTGCAAACCCACGATACACCAAATGCACCACAAACCAGTAGCACGAACAACCACAACCCACCACCACCCACAACCCAGAACTCGAACCCCGCACCACAAAACCCACAACCCACAACCCACAACCCACGAACCTACAATCTACGAATCGACAAACATAAAAATCCCGCCCCTGAGAAAAGCACAACCCTAAAAATATGAACGAAAGGGATGTAAATGACAAACTAATGCCTTCTTCATCTTCAATTAAAGCTATAATTGGTCAAATTTGACCATCAAAACTCTAGATCTAGAGTTTTGATGGTCAAATTTGACCATAAAACCTTCAAATTTGAGTTTAGCGGCAATGACGAGACAATAAGAAAAGGAAGATCGAGTGGAGAGAAAACGAAGGCGGCGACAAGCAAGAGGAGGACGTCACTGACTTCCGACGACGGTGGCGATCTTCATAGAATATTGCGGTCTAATTGAGAGGAGATGAACAAAGAGAGAGTAATTTCTGGGTTGATGAAGAGAGATAGGTGGTAGTGGTGGTGGTTGCCAACGAAGGTGATGGTGAATTTAGATGGAAGGTGAATGATTTAGCTGGAAATGGTTACGTTAATTAATGTTAGGGTTTAAGTTTAAGATAATATTAGTAGTTTAATTAGGATGTTTAAAAAAATTAAGGGTAATTTTGTAAAATCACACAAAAATTACTATAAAAGGAAAAAAAAATTATTGCGAGCAATATGTAACGACCATTTTTAGTAATTGTTGAGAGTAATATATAACGGAACGAGTATTTAATTATCGATATCTATGAATAATGTAAAAAATATTTAATATTTAAATACAAGTACTCTTAATACTTGTATTTATTGGGTATGTGTGTGAATCACAAAAGATAGTTTAAGTGACTAGAAAATTTTAAAACTTATCAAGTAAACGAAGAGATCGAGTATAGATATGATTTTATTAACTGTTATGATTACTAAGAACACTAACAAGAACATAATGTAAACATAAACAAGGAAAATTCTTTCTAGTGTAGACAAAGTTCGTTCAAAGAATGAGATGTAATGAATCTACCGTGTTGAACCATGCATGACTTTCTCAAACAACATATATGACAGATATGACTCATATGAGTGTCCTACACTGATTAGAAGTAAAGATATTTATGCTGACTTGGCAATTCTATATTGATTTTATTCTTCTTTCTTCATTTATAGGAAGATTGTTGGAATTTTTGTTGTGTAATAATGATGTACTACATAAATTAAGGGATGTAATAGCTCTTAATAAAATTAACTCGTAATTTTAAAAATTTAAAAATTAAGGGATAATATCACATAATAAAATTAACTCGTAATTTAAATAATTTAAAAATTAAGGAATATTGAGCTAAATTAAGGGATGTCAACTACTCATAAAGATTCAAATGTAATATGTAGCATTATGTGATTAATATAGAACACATGCCAAGGCTTCACTAAAGTCGAGCCATTATTCCAATATTACAATGATATTAATGTACAAAAATAAAAGTAACCCTAATTTTTTTGGGGTACTTATTAAAAATCATTATATTGGTAATTCTTGGCCAATACACTTTGCCAATACTAACTCCTAGGCATATTGCACGATTGTAAATTTGTAAGTTGCATATTTTTAATTATTCCTGTGCAATTTATTTGTGCCAAGCTTTTATGGACTGTATGATTTATTGATTTGAATTACATTCATTTAATTTTTTTTGTATCACGAGGCAAAGCCATGCGGCCCAATCGAGTTAAGTTAGTATAATCTTGTGGGCCGTGGGCCGCAAGACCTGGGATAATCAGCCCAAACACTCGATATAGAACTTGACACCAAGATTCTTTGTAATCTGGGCCCCATTTCATACGTGGAAGTATCATTCCCCTAATTAGCTCCCAACCTGCATTCACGTACTTTGGTATCACCCATACCAA